ATAGACAGTATTGTAACACTGAATTAAGGCTTTTGTTCCTTCAGCTGCCCTGCAATTTGAGGAATAGCATCTGGAATTTAAAATAATAAAATTGCATGCTTACATTTATTTCCTAAGTAAGGTGTGTAAAGATGGTCGCGTTTTCATAAGCAGCAAACTTCTTGACTAATGAGACTGGCCTGCAAACACTTGGCCATGAATAAAATTGTTCAATCAGATATTGATAATCAACTCCCATCTTGTGGGCCTTAGAGAAGCAATGTAATTGCTATATAACAATATTCTAAAGAAAGCAATCTATTTAATTACAAAAGGTTTATAAAAGCCCAAAACACGGCAGCAGTTAGTGAGAAGCCATTCATTATAAACGCCTGATTAAATGAAGAGAACCTTGTGAAGTATTTAGCAAAGCTTGAGGTTTCACAATTACTGATTTCCAGAAATAAAGCAGCTGAGCACAGACAAGATTAAGACAGCAATTGAAAAATGTACCCTGATCAATGACAACAGTTACAGTACACACCAGTTTGCTAAATAAGTCTTCACCATTCAGTGCAGCTTTTTCTTACTTTCTCTATCACAGCTGCCCCAACATGAAAAGATATGAATGTATTTGTTCTCACGAGGTCATAACAGGAACAAAAGTACAGAAAGATCCACCAACCACAGAGAGCTGACACCTTTTTAGACCCTCCGTACTTCACTTGTGAAGCTCAACCTAGATTCCCAAATGATGGCTGGATTAAAAGGGAAAACAGTTATCCATTTTCTGGGAAGAGAACCTTTCTGAAATTTAACAACAAAAAAGTAATATACATTTTCTATTGTTTCAAAAAAATCATATACAGAGACAACACGTGGCACTTGCGGATCATTAGTAGAGCTGAGTTACATCTTCACACCTATATTACGGGAGAGGAAAAGGGCAAAATGATATAGACTAAGTACAGGAAAGTACTAAAGAATAAAACATTCAGTGAAGTTGCACTCTTGCACACATTAAAAAATGACATTTAAAACACCTTGAGTAAGGAAAACAACAACAAAAATTGGATGATCTTTGATCTGAGCTGGGTAGGTAACGTCTCTGCGCAGATACAGAGCTGATGCAAAAGTTTTAACATCTTTGAAAGTCCTGGAAAAAGAAGGATGATTTATTTTTATATAACACAATACTGTCAGACTCAGAACACAAGCATTCTGTCAAGAACTTTCATGTACATAATGATTCCAGCAACTCCCAAGAGGTGGTTTTTGTTGGTAGTGGTGTTGTTTTGTTGGGTTTGTTGTTACTTTTTTCCAACAGCTTGCATGTTTCCCCTAGCAGTAAGCTGGCTACAAGTTAAGTATCGATTCTTCCTTTCTCTCTCCCACATACTAATATGACTATAACTCATTAATGACATCCATAGATTACATAAATGAAAACTCCCTAAGACTTGTTTTCAAATTATATTTCCAATATTTTGATGGTAGACAGAAGATATGGGCTATAGTCTTTATTTTCACTTACTATAAGACAAATCCTCAGAATACCTCTATTTTAAGAAATGCACTTGCTACAACTCTTGCAGTCTTCTATCCCCTATCTACACTCTACTGAAATTAAATTACTTTCTGCGAATCCCACACCTCTAGCTTCCTTTACTACATGTACACATCCTACCAGCATGGAAATTTCCTGAAGATATTGCAAGGCCCCTAAGGGTAGGGCTATTGACTCCAATTGACATTAATGTCTTCCCAGCAAAAAATCCTCTTTCTAGGTCAGATAACTGTTTCGCACTTTGAAATAGACATTTAAAAAACATTTTAAGGTTCAAGTTTGACAGAGTCTACGAAGGGTCCTGAGGAAACTGACATTCAGGTTAAGGGGGCTGCTTGAAGGAATATGGAAAAACAGAAGAGGTTAGCTGGTTTGATAAAAAGGTAGAAAAGATGATGAGCTAAAAACTAAGATGAAGTATATCTGAACTTCTATGTTCCATCCACTTATTTCATGCTCTTTTTGTAGGAAGGAACAGCAGACATTGCCCTAGCATGAGATCAGGATTTTTAGGCAAAGGCCATACTGGTGATACGGCAGTCAGGCAAAAACTCCTGAAAACAAGGTCTTTAACTTCTCAGCCATCATGGCAGATTAGGGCCACACAGGATAATTTCTAGCTTACTTTTAGACATCCCCATTCAAGTTGGATCAAAAATCCAAAACACCAAGTTTGGTAATCTCAGTTGAGCTCTATTTGCACAGCTATTTATATCAGGCATGTTGGCATGGTCAAAAATCTCAAGATATTAAACCACGGTGGTATTAATAGAACAAAAGAACATGGAGGCTTACTGCATTGGTTTTTCAGTTCTGTTTCACTGGACAGTACACAAATTAAGGGGGAAAGTGGGATAAACATATTCCTATTCTGTTCACAGTATATTTTAATTTTCAAAGAGGCACCTACAAAGGCCTGACAATCAAATCAAATGACTTTGTAGGGGATTAGGCCTGACAAACAAATCGAATGACTTTGTAGGGGGCTGAACAGGCTTTGCCATGCCAAGGATATGATAACTGAAAACAAAAGAATAATTTCTCCAGTGACTGAGAACACATACTGCTGCTTCTGTATGGAACTAGTGTGCTGAACTATAAAGCTACTTTTTTTTTGTTCCTCCAGTGCTCCAACAACATAACACCCCGTTTTTTTTCAAGACACGTTCAGGTAAATCAGCCAACATTTGAATCATTTTTTCATGAAACTCAGTCACAGTTATTAGTAAACTAGACTCTTTCTGAAAAACAGAACTTCTAACAATTAATATTCTCGAAGTCACCCTTCTCCCTGTTACTGTTTCTGGACACCACCTGTGTTTCAGAAAAGAAATTAACTGAAAGGGTGAACAAAGATTCATATTGCTTAACAAAGATGCAAATAATTCTCATATTTCATCAGCAAGCAGTGAGATATTTTCAAATACACAATAAATCAGGGAGGTGTGTAGGGAGAAATAGTATCATCTCACCATCAGTATCACTCCCACACAAAATAAACTGATCTACGATCTTCCCAGGAGTAACAGCAGCACTGAAATAGATCTCATAATGAGGATGCAAGTTTAGAGACAGTATTCCTCTCTTCCGTGGAAGCATTCAAGGCGAGGCTGGATGGGGTTTGCAGCAACCTGATCTACTGGGATGTGTCCTTTCCTATAGCAAGGGGGGTTGGAACTGGATGATCTTAAACCCAAACCATTCTATAATTCTATGATTCTCTCTTGATAGTCACCTCCATCATGCTCCATCAAGTTCATTTACTTCAACGAGGTAAAATCTTACTGTAGCTTTTCAGTATAGGTTGATATAAGTGAACATCTCAATTGGTAAAACAATGAGACCACTTTCCTTTATAATTTACCTTCTCTTTGGAAAGAAGAACAAAGATATTCCTTACTCAAGGTAACAACAAACAGTTTGAAACTGTCCCAGCTAAAAACATTTGTATAACAACAAGGGATAACTCTTCCAAACATGTTCTCACAATGACAAGTTTTGCAGGCTAAGATGAAGATCTTTCTCAATGTACGGATAAAGTAAGTGGGATAGCATTTGAAAGCCACTGCTTATAACACAAGGTAACATCTCCATTGGGTTACACAGAAGTAGACCTACTTACTCTGTCAGTATGAATTCACTAAAGCTGTACTCACTCAATGATCTGCTATTGATTTCAGGAAAATAAATAAACTAACAAATTCATACCATTCAAGTCAAACTCTGGCCACATTTTCATGTTCCCAATACGAATTTCAGACTAATAAGACACTCTCCTTCAAACGCTGGAGATACAGAGTGGTAGAGTGGAAACATCCCAAACATTAACTGAGGCAAAGGTGCACGTGTGAACAAGAAACCAAAACAGATTTCAATTCTTATAGGCTACTTCAAGGCCAAATTTTCATTAGTATTGTGACTTTTTTTCCCCCCCAGTATTTTGGCAGTATAAAAGAGCATTCTAGTAAAGTACCACTCCAGCAACAAGAATCGGCTGATCAACGAGGATATTTCTTATGCCTCTTGATACACAAAGAAAGCAAGATATTATTTTTATGAATAATTAAAGGGTGATACATTCCAAAGCATTCAGTTAAGAACACATTTAGTGTTGTGGTTTAACCCTGGCAGCAGCTCAGCATCACAGAACTGTTCGCTCACTCTCCCCAGGTGAGAAAGAGAAGGATTGTAAAGGCTCGTGGGTTGAGATAATAAAGACAGTTTACCAGGTAAAGCAAAAATCACACATGCAAGCAAGAAAAAATAAGGAATTAATTCAATGCTTCGCATGAGCAGGCAGATGAAATGTTCAGACACTCCCAGGAAAGCTGGGCTCAGCACATGCAGTGACTCCTTGGGAATACAATAGCCATCACTCCAAATGTCCCCTCTTCCTCCTCCTCCTTTACCCCAGTTTTTATTGCTGAGCATGAGGCCGTATGACACGGAATGTCCTTTTGGCCAATTCTGGTCAGCTGTCCTGAGTGTGCCTTCTCCCAACTCCTCATGCACCCCAAGCTCCTTGCTGGCAGGGCAATATCAGAAATACAAAGGACCTTGACAGTATGCACAGCTCAGCAACAACTAATATCATCACTGCTATCACCACTATTTTCACCCAATATCCAAATCCCAGCATTAGACAAGCCTCTTCAAAGAAAATTTGCTCTATCCCAGCCAAAACCACGACCCTCAACTTCTTTAAGAACCCAATAGCAGCATTTATTCTTTTAGGTTAATAATACAATGTGTATACTAACTTTGAAATCATTTACTCACATTACAGCAATATTTACTGCCATTGAAAGAATTCTAAAATGATAACAGCATTGACAGCTTAACCTTTATTAAACTGTTAAAGATTATTCTTTTAACATAAAGTCAAACATAAATATTTCAAAAACTGTAACTTAAAAGATCACAGATTGACTACTTAAAAGTAAATTTTCTTCATAAAATGTGTCTTTTCTTTACAGTTAGAGATCAGAAAAATGAGACTTCCCTGCCATAATATTTTATGACATTCACTTTTGAATAATAATTGAGGCACTTTAGGGGATTATTAAGAGCTATGAACAATTAGCTCACTTAACATTAAATCTGAAGAATAATCCTATGGTATTAACTGTTACTTATGATAGTGTTGCTGTTATTTGCTTCTTAAATCAAAGTGCCAGAAGCTTATAAGTTTGTATAACACTGGTCAACTCCAAGATTTCAGAATATGTGATAATAGTAATAATTATGCTTCTCATACTTTTCCACAAACAAAAGATTGTTTGCATATGAATTAATCCTCAGAATCTAACCGTGAGATAGGAAGACAGGAAAGTATCATTACACTTTATACAGAGTAGAAACAGACTGTGGTCAGCTGAAATCAAGCATGAGACAACTGAACAGGCTCAGTCATCTCATTTAATGTTTTATCATAATACTGCATCTCTGATATTGTTCCAGCACATTATATTCTTTTGAAAGTTTTAACTACAGTTGTCATCACAAAGTATTTTTAAAACCTGAGTTAGTATTTAGACAATAAAAAAAAACCTAACCAACAGTACACACAAGACCTAAATTTGGAGCAGATAGATTTGAGAAAAGGAGATCTGTTTGTATGCCAGTTGTTCTTAGTAACTCAGTTTAAAACCTTTGCTGACTTCATAGAAAAAAAAAAATAAAATCACATCATATTTCTGTATGACATTGACCTAATACACATTCAGATAACAGAAATCAAATCCTTTTGAGCATCAGTGCACAGTCAGTGAGACAAATACGTGGCCCTCATTTCAAAGCCTTCCTAAGGACAAGAGGGGAATTAAACTTCCACATACCACCCTGCAACTAGCTGCACACTGCTATGACTAAGATCGCAATACCTTCATGGTCCCATATACCTGGCACATCTGAAATATGAGTTCCTTGATCAAAAATTAGGAAAAATAAGACCAAATACTGAGCTGGATGGAAGGGAACTTCTCAATAGGAAGGATTTTCTTCTCGTATTTGCATTTAAATTCATTTGGTTTGTCAGGGTAGTTGTGGTTCTGGGCTTTTTTTGGACCAGAACAGTGACAAAAACAACAAAACACTTCCAGTGAATACTAAGGGAAGTGATGAAAGAGAATAGATGCCACTTTATTTTTCCTTCTGGCAAATGGACCATCAGAAAGAAATGCCTGCCCACATATCTATCACGGTTACTCCGTATCATATCCCAGAATGGGGCCTAGCCATTTCTCCACTTCTGCCACAGACAATTTTTTTCTTAGTGCATAATCTTCAACCTGCAAAGGGAACACAAAACACAATGAAAACTTGGGAACTCTGGCTTTTTGTGTTGACAAAAACTTTTGAAGCATCTGGACAAAAGCTGTTTTTGAATGCTGTAACAACGCCTCAACAGACTGCAAGTTACCTGATCTTTACATATCTTGCCAACAGCAAAATATTTTGATTTGGGGCTGGAAAAGTAGAGGCCAGAAACTGCAGAAGCAGGTGTCATTGCTAATGATTCAGTTAAACCAATTCCTGAAAAAGAGAATGGAAACATACTTGTTCTCCAGATAATAAGGGTAAGTTCAGAATCTTTTTCTGTCAGACAGCTTCAAGCAAATTCACAATCAAGAAGCTTTCCAATGAGTTAAAAAGATAAAACTACTATCTATTTGTCCATTCCAAAGAAAATACATAAAACTTTAAATACATTGCAGACTTTCATTACAGCATTACTATAGAGTAACTGAATTGTTTGCAGGAAAAAAAAAAAAAGGATATTTTTGAAAATGAAATGGCTAACTAGAGCTTTTGAAACATATGAAGGTATTTTGGAAGTGAATTAACAGTGAAACGTTCAATATGTAAAATATAAGAGGAAAACAAATAGAATTTCTTTTTTTAAATGTTACCATCTCAAGGTTACTGTGGACTAGGAAACACAATGCAGAATTAGCTCTTATTTTGTCTGTACATGGAACGTCTTCTTGTAGCCATAAGGATGCTAGAAATTTTCTCTCTGTATAGCGAAGTCCTTTTTGCACATAATTTACTAATTAAGGACAAAACTCCTTTAGCAAAACCATGGGAAGTATTTTGTATTTTTTTCCTTGCATGAGGAAAATAAAAGCAACAATGGAAGAGGAAATGCAGCCATTTCCAGAACCATGTCAGTTCCATTTTTACATGCAGTTCTTCACACTCTAATTCTTTGTTTTGTTGACATTTCATTCTCTCATTAAACAAAAACATCTGAAAAGTCTTAGTAAGGTTGATGTAGTTACCTGTTGTTTCCTCAATGTTAGCAAGCTTCCACATGGTGAGTTTTTCTGTATGGTCAGGCTGGCTTGGATAACCAGGAGCAGGCCGAATTCCCGCGTATTTAATTTTGCGTAGGTCAGAAAGATCTAGCTGCTCATCACTACAGTAAGCCCAGAATTCCCTTCTAACTCTTTCATGGAGTTCCTCGGCAAATGCCTTGAAATATAGTGAAAAAAAATATATGTAGGTTCCACAAAAAATATATATATATTTTTTTTTTTGTGGAAACAAATGCAGTAGTTATTTGATGAAGGCGTACAATGATAAAGACTTTCTCTTTGTTTCCACTTTGATTTTTTAGGAGAAAGATCTTATAACAGGTGAAAACTTTGATCACAGTAAAAGTCCCATACCATGCTTATTTTTCTAGTTCAGACCTTTTCATTTTTTCTCTTATTGGTAAATAACATGGTTGGGTTTTTTTGTTACCATGCCTTAAAATGCTACACGGTTAAATAAGCATCTAAAGTGGTCACTAAAGAAGATGAAGTTCAGTAGGTAATGGCAGTATTACATCATTATAACACTGAAGACAATAGGTCTATTTTGGATATCTCCTCCTGTGGAATGGCATTCTGGCCATACTGGTTTCAGATGTAAATACTGATTACTGCTCTTTTTCAGCATCGGATCTTTCTTCTGATTGAAAGTGAGTGGCAGTTGTTTTGTATCTGCTCTTACAGATTATACTACTTAGCCAGCATTGGCTGCATTCAGGAGAAATTTCCACTTTGGTAAACATCCTTCAATGGCATCAAATACTGGTTTCTAAAACTCCCTTATAGTTTAAAGTACACAACTACAGCCAATTCTACTTGCCCTGAAGCTCCTATAAATTTTACACTGATTACTCAGGTATAAGCATGAAGACAGAGGTAGAGTTGGAGAGAAGGGCTAGAACTTTCTAAACCACTTCAGTTACAGCTTTAAGAGCATGCCTAAGTCTAAGGTACATTAAGTCAAAAGACTTGTGCCCTGACACATCTCCATAGTTACCATTAAAGCTGAAAGCACATCAGTGCAATGTCAAGCAACTCAAGAATATTGGGGGTTCAATCTGGGTCTGAACACACATTCTCTTGTAAGCAAAGCAATATTTAAAGACAGTTTTGTTTAAGCAGCCTTGTTTAAAAAACGTAGTAAATTCTACCAACTATCAAAACTCTCAAAAAGAACTTGGAGGAGTTTTTGCAGCTGGGAAGTATGGATAGCAGACTCCCTTCTGGCTCAGAAGACTATCTCTCTTAAGAGAAGCTCAAGGGAATCGGTTCACTTCCAGATTCAATACTGGGCATGCACTAACACAACAGTCTGAGTCTATGCTAAAACTTGAAACAGCAGTTTGTCAAATCTAGAACACAGAAAATTTGCACGGAAACATGATAAAACTTTCTTTATACCTCAGCCAGTCGATCTCCAAGTGCCTTTACCATTATGATATTGTACTCATCATCCTGTCTTCTGAAGTCATTGCATAACTCATCCACACCAAAGCAGGCTACAGCAAAAAGGCCTAAGTAGTCACAAATGCCAGAATCCATTGGTGCTATGAAGTCAGAGAGACAGTAATATGGATCTGTACAGGCAGAATCTTTTTCAGCCTAAAGTAAAATAAACAAACAAACAAGCCACAAGATTAAAAGAATATATTATTAGTGCATTATTGATCCAAACACCAGGATTATTAAGACTAAAGGGCTTGGAGAATTTCTGAAAAATACCTAACTAGTCTTTGAGCCACAACAACTTTCCTCCCCTTGAATTAGATGAAAAGCACTTCTACTCTTCTGAGGGTGTTTAGATCATTAAAAAACAAAATGTCAAAGGAAGGAGATGCTGTACTGAACAGGCACAGAGAGATGTTCTGGTTCTATTTACAGCTGGTAAGATTTAACAGCTTATTCTGCAGACAAAGTATTACAAAATAGCAAACACTCTTGTGCCAACCACTGGGGATGAAGAGGAATTTTCCATCTGTAACACTCAGACTCCACATTTGTCAACAAAATGGACAGTTGATAGTTTGCACCTCAGCTATGCAAACTGCAGATTTCTTCAGCAGCTCCCACTATGGAATGCCTGTGAGAGTCTATAAACACTCCTTGTTTCTTATGCCACAAACCACATGCTCAGTAGCATATTAAAAAAACAGTACTCCGGGAATTACATTTGCATGATCCACATACAAACTGAAACAAAATTTGTCTATCACTACTGAAAAGTTGAACCCCAAACAAGGTTCAAGGGGGTTTACACAAAAAAGAAAGACCCACTCACCACATCCTTTCCCAAAAATGGAGAAAAGGGAATAGAAACAGGTGACTGAATGCTGGCAACAGCATTTAACAAGAAGCTGAGGATGAAATCAGTATTTATTGTAGGAACATAACTGCTGTTTAAAAAAAAAAGAAAAAGTGGGACAACTCCTGTATATCTGTGCAACTTACAAAGAAATGAAGTTAATTCATGGTTATCACTTTACTGAAGAGTCCTCTCCAAGTTTTCTTATTCTATAGTATTCCAGTGTTTAATGATGCTTTCAACCCAATCCCAAATTTAGTTTGAAAAACATAAAAAACACCATCACCTCTCACAGTCAAAGATAAATGCTGTGTAAATCCTATATACTACTAAGTTATAACAAGTACCATAAAACAGAAGAATTTTTTGTTTTCCTTCATTTGATCCCTATTTAAATTTAAGGTTCTTTTGTTTTGATCATAGTTACAAGAAAATACTAAACATCTCCTGCTTTTAGATTTCCATCTCACGCTTAATGATGACAACATCATAGAGAGAACTCTGTGTACTGAGAGGAAGATTCTATATACAAAACAGAAGACAATTATTCCTTTCTATTTTACTCTGGTGAAGCCTCTGCTGGATCACTACATACACTAGATTGAAATACGTTCAGCTAAAATGGGTGAGATTCCAGAATAATGGTACCCACAATAATGTAGTTTCATGCTCCTAACCTCTCAGACATCCTCAATAAATTGCAAACGCATGAGATAAAAAGAACAGGAAAAGAAAATGCAGTAAACTTGATTTGGCTATCAAAATGTTTAACTAGGTAGTTAGGCCCTGGAACAGCATCCCCTGAATGTTTCTGAGAACAGTTTACATAAACATCTGCCAAGGACTTGAAGATACACTAAGATCAGTCTCCATGCAACAGATTACCTGTTCCAGGGGTTGGTAGACAAACTTTAAGCTATGTTCTTCTCAGTGCAATTTTGCAATACTGGCACAGAGTAAGAATAATGTATTTCAGAAATTGAAGTTATTTGTAAGATTTGTTTCTGCCATATTTGATGACAAAATATATGAACTATCAAGAAGCCAAAGTGAAATGCAGGGAAGGAAAAGAAGCAGAATATCTTGAAAATGTACAAGTTACAAAAATAAATGCAAATGCCAGTATGATTCGAGCATAAATACTTAAAATAATGATTCTCACAACTGGAATTAGCAGCAAACTAATTATAAACTGTCTCTTAATATAAGAAATTTTATATAAAAAAAAATTAAGATTATCAGAAACATTCACCTCCACTGAGCTTTAGTTTCCAGATATTAATTAAAAATATTTTTCATCTTTAACATACCCAAACAGAAATTTAAGGTAGAATCCAGGGATATTATTAGGTTCTAACTTAGCACATAAGAGTGACATGATGAATATATTCAGCGCAGTGCTTTAGAATGGTTTAAATAATAAAAGGAAGACAAAACAGAGATTTGAAGCTGCCAAGTCTATGAAGCATTCTGTACAACTATTACAATGCAAATTACTACAAATGCTACAATTAGAAATACTTGGGTCATTATTAGCAAGATCTTGTTATTACTGAAAGAAATGGCAAGACAAGCACAGACAGATAATGACAATTATTTACTGCATAGATTTTTATTACAGCATTTCTGCTCTACTCCTACAACTCAGAAAAAAAAAAAATCACTTTATTCTGTTACTTTACCTGTTGCCTCAGGCCACAAAATTTTGCTATTGGTTCTGAAGATCCCACTGCCTCTTCAACAGCATACAAATAGATATCATCTTGAACACTTTGAGCTGGCCAGAACCCAAGCACACCCCTTGCTTGTAATTTCTTTTGATTAATCAATATTTTCAGAAGATTTTGAGCATCGTTAAAAACTTTCTGTGCTTCTTCGCCTATTAAAAAAAAAAAAAGAGAAAACCTTTTGAAAAGACAAGCATTCACAACCAGTTGAACAAGCCCAAAAACTGCTTAAGACTGATTCATTTTCCACGAAATTCTCTACTGCAGCAATCTGTCAGCCAGAGCAAGCAGTGAGCATAGCAGTGTGATAATGTCTGTACAGCTGTAACAGCATGCATCTCAAAACAGATGTTATAGACATCACCATCCTAATTGGGGCAGAGGACTCAGAATGAAGTGAGCAATACGGAAAGCATGCATGCGTCTACATTACCACAATGCAGTAGAATCCTAAACATTTTCTTCAACTTCATCACGTATTCCAAAGCCTACTGAGTAGTATCAAAAAGAGGAAGAGCCCTCTTGACATCTTAGCCCTTAACAGGGACATGTGCTAATTGCTCTGTTGCCATTTTCTGTCGTTAAAATAGCAGCCCATGTTTTAGCAGTGAATTCTAAATGACTAAGCACCTTCCTGCCTCATGTGTCAACATCAGTAAATGTTGTTTTACACAAATTACTTCAGTTAACATTTAAGTGCCAATGAATCATAGAATAGCTTGGGTTGGAAAAGGACCTCAAGGTTCATCAAGCTCCAGTCCCCCTGCCATTGGCAAGGTCACCGGCCTCCAGAATGCAATTTATCATTTCTGTCTATTTCAAAATATTCACAATCTGAATGCTGCACGCACACAAAGTAAATGCAATTTCATTACTTACCTACTGTTTTATCATTAAATACTTTAGGAAAACTCCGGTTGGGATATTTTCCTCTAAGTTGCCAGACATCAAAGAAAGGCTTCCAGTCAATGTACTCTACTAGCCTCTTCAGGTCATAATCTTCAAAGACTTTTGTACCAATGAATTTTGGTTTCACTGTAGGAATTAGAAGTACAATCTGACATGAAGACAATTATTTAATATTGCCCTAATATGCACAGCATAATTGATGCTTCCCAGCCTCCACCACTGCAAATGAACTCTTCTAAAGTAATTTCAAATTCTCACTGCCGCATCCTGCCCAAGTTATACCATACTCTGGGTTTAAAAAAATAATTTAAAAAAAATCATAAAAAGTCAAAATAGAAAATGTAAGGTCTTCTGTAATTTCCTGTAAATCAACTCTTACTTGATGCTTGAATTCTCTACTTATTTCATGGGATAAAATATTCAACCTAAGACCAAAATCGACCTATCCATACCCAAAACATTTCATAGGCCTGCGTCATACGTAATTACAAATGCCACTTTCTATATACAGACATAATGAGCTATGGTATTGTAAAATAGTTCTGACAATTAATATGAATCTTGTAAGAGTTTTTGCTACCATCACACACTGTTGTGTGTATGCATCAGAAGTGAAAGAGAGATACGGACCTTCGATATGATGCAGCCACAAGCTTTGTACTTTTTTAATCTCTGCTGTTCACTACTTTATAACACACAGCTTTTATTAATATGAGCAAGTGAAAATGAGCATTTTCTTGAGACTCTATTTTATCCTTCAGATTCTATTCCCCATCCCACTGGGGTGGTAGTGAATGAGCAGCTTTGTGGAGCTCTGCTGCCTAACAGGAGCTAACTTGCACAGTCTTGTAAATGAAGTGACAAAGCAGTCACCTGTTAATACCACTACAGGAGGCACCTTCTTGTGGAAGGTTGTTTATACTTCTGGTGTTTGGTATTAAAACAACAAAAATGGTACAGAGAGGTAGAAAAAATATCTACCTCTTTCTCCATTAAATTGTAAGGAAGAATTTGAGAAAATGGTGTGTCACAACTACTGTTGCCTAAAAGCAGTTCATAAGCTTTGCAGTATGAACAAGTTCAATATTATTTTGGAAAGGCTGCATTACTCTGATTTTTGATTATAGGGGCATTATGGGTGACTCTGGTTTAGATTTTTTTTCCCCCCGATTTCTTACTAATTTTTGTTTTGAGATGTTTTGCTTTTTTTTTCTTTTAATTACTGTGAAAAATTATAAAGTTGAAACAGATCAGCAAGATGGAACTTAAGCAATAAAAAACAGTCTGCTCATACAGACCTGAGTTTATTCAAGTTGTTACCCTATTTCTAACACAATGCTACTATATCTTGAAGTTTAATGAAGCATCATCCAATTAATTAAGCCAACAGATAAAATGAAACAAAGACACAATAAAATCACCACCTCTACAACCAACAACATATAAACTGACCGGGTTTGTGGTCTGACAACCAGTCATTATGGAAACCTTTTCTTCTAGCTTGCTGTAGAGACAAGTATCTTCTTTCCTGTACGGACACAAAGGTTACTCTTATGAAAACACACATCTTTCTAACAAACTCTAACCATCGCAGTGGTCATACAATTCTAGTCAAAACCTCTTACAGGACAATTGTGAAAAAAAAAAACTAATTTCAATTCCAAAAACTCCTAACTGAATTCACTACAATATTCTCTTTAAATGACTACAATATTCTCTTTAAATGACTACAATATTCTCTTTAAATGACTACAATATTCTCTTTAAATGACAGCCCTGCACTTGGTCATCTCAGTCTGTGGACTGATCTTAAAAAGGATAGTCTTAAACTCGGCTGGATTCATCTTCTGAGTAGGAGGCCTCAACCTTTACCTATGTCTATCAAAAGACCATTCAAGAGTCAGATCACTTTCGGTTTGCTTCTGCTTTTCTCTACAAAAATGATAGAAAAGCCAAACAGATAAACAAAGTCTAGATACACTCTGCCACTCCGCACCTTTTATTTCTCTCTGCTTTCCTTTCACTCTCCTAAAATTGCAGTACAAGTTCTCTACTTTGAAGCTTTGAAGCTGTTCAGATCCCTAACCAAGACAACACAAAGACAACAGGAAAATGCGGTAGCATGAAGGACACAATAGAACACAGTACAGGATCAGCAAAAACAACTGGTGTCATTTTAGTTACCTCAGTGCATTTCCCTGTTTTCAGCTACTGCCATGCGAGAGCACTGACTTCCTGAAGAGTGGTTAAGCTGACATGACTGCCAGCCTCATAGAGCTATCCTAGGTATCAGTGAGTTTTCATTTCAGACAATCAAGACTTTGCCAGCAGTATGTTAGACTCATGTAGAATTACCCCCCACAGGCTAGAATTTTATTTATTTATTTTGTCAAAATCAGCACAAGTATAAATCAAGGTCTTCATAAAGAGCTGAAACTCAGTGTTAGTAATTATATAAGTACCTACCACTTCAAACAAGAGAAAAACTAGATTATTTACATTTGTACCTTAAGAGACTCATAGTGCTCTTGTCTAATTTCTTCATATTCCTCTAATATTTCTTCAAAAAAATCATCCTTTACGCTTTCATCTAAGAGCTGGGAACACTGCAAAAAGGAAAGAACACACTATGAGAACGCAGTATGAATTTCAGACTAAGCTATCTTTCAGACGTTACTTTCAGTGAACTTTATCCAATTACATCTGACAATACTAACTTAAGCCTTACCACTAAATAGCAAACTATATTCAAAACATATTTAAACATAGGATGAGTGAGAATATTGCCCTTCTACACAGGTAATATTAGCAGAGTTCCATCTTGCTCTCAAAAGACCCAAAGAGGGATACTCTATGACTCTAGAGGCTGAATACTCAAACAACAGGCAGCTACTTCTTTCTCTCTCTCTCTTTTTTTTTTTTTTTTTTGCTAAGACGACCTATTTGTCTAACAGAATGAGCTCCTATTCCAAAAATCTTCACTCAGCCACTTCATAGTACTGTTTTCCTGTTGCCGTATCTCTAATCTCACAAATATACTCGAAAGGGAGAACAGCAGATCACACATAATCACATTGCTCCTCATTTTTAAACATCTCAGAACTACAGTCAAGGATTCAGAGTGAATCATGTCACCACCGTTAGATAATTAGACAAACTGACATGTAAATATAGGTATCCAATGACAGTAAGTCAAATTAGCTCAATGAGAAAACTAAGTGGCTATAAAAAAAACTGCTGAAGCAACACTAGTTTAGGAAGTGGTCTCTGTAGTATCTCTTCCATTTTTTTGTGATAATATTAAATCTTAGACAAAAAGATGAGAGGCATAAGAAAGAAAAGCAGGGCATATATATTTGCATAAATGAGAAATTATAGTTAGAACTTACAACCACAACGCTCTTGGATGCATCCAGGACATGAATTACAGGTGCACTATAGCGGGGGGCAATTTTAACAGCTGTGTGTGTTCTTAAATGAAAAAGAAAGTGAGCATTTCAGAACTGAAACAAAGCAGGAAAACAAACAATAGTCCCTGCAAAATACAAAGTACATCCTGACAGTGCACAGACCAGAATTTCAAAACAAGAAACCACTGATGAGTAGCAGATTTTTAATAATAGCTACATAAAAACTTTACTTCAAAGAGTATCAGAATGCTTCATAAGTAATGAGACAGCTTATATTTCCTCAGTGTCTTATCAGCTGACTGAAAGTCAGCAATTCGTTAGTTTAATTCTCAGAAATTTCAGGTTTAGTTTGGAACTTTCTCACTTACAAAAAAAAAAAAAAGAAAAAAATAAGGTAAAATCTTGTTTGCTCATCTTACAGCTTTCCCTCCCACATGTTATCTTCTGGGTGTGTGGATTAATATTAACGTATTCCGGTGATGGTTATTTCAATTTCTATAATGCTCTACTTCAGAGGCAGAAGCTTTCCCTTTACCTGAAAAAGGATTTCTGCCAATGGCAATAAAACAGAACAGACCTGCATCTGCTGTGTCAGCCAAGTCACTAAATTAAGAACTCCCAGTTTATTTAATATATACTCTATTCCAATCAAACACAAGCAGCAGGCCTAACCTCACTTTTCTTCAGGTTCTATCAAAAAGTAAAAACACTTGAACATAAGGTTAATGATGACTGTGCAACAGTTCAGTAACCAGTTGTCTAAGAACGCCTTAATTTGATTCTAGGTGATGCATGTTGATATTAGCAGCTCAGTTTATTAGAAAGAAAGATACTTTATCATCCATTTTGATAGAAACAGACAAAGTAAACAAACAGAGCATAATCCTACAGTGGCACTGTATCATCAGGTACAGGTATTTTTTTAAACAAACATTACCACAATAAAACCACCACCATTAATTTTCAACATCTGAATTTCACAAAGCAGCATAGCAAATAACACAAACATTGCTGCAAGCTGAAGTGAAATTTCATTATGTAGATTCTGTAGTCAGAATCTTGTCTCTCTCTTTCAAACTAACCTCATTTTCTGCCTTTCCAAGTACACATGGTCTACCCATTACAAATCATGATGTCTACCTATTTCAGAGAATAAACGCAGACAGTTCTTCATTAGCAAGCTCTAACGTATACACAACTTTTCAGAGTACATGAGGTTAAACTTAAAGCTGTGCAAGTGAAATTAAATACATACTACTAATCTAATTTCCCATAAAACATACCTTCATCTGACACATTTTAAATAAACTGTGTCTGGTCATATGCAGAATTATATTTATATAGAGTTCATGTGAGTACAATTGTTTACGAATACAAAGCATATTTTACATGTTATTCAATTATTTCTACATTTAAGGACAAAATTCATGCTGCCCATCTGCATTCATCTCTACCTATAAATTTTAGAGATCTGTTTGATGCTGCTTATTTTACATCCATTATAATGCCACAGTGCTCTACAGACACTAAAAAGACAAAAAAAAAAAAAAAAAAAAAAAAAAAAAAAAAAAAGGCAATAAAAGGCTCTTTTTTTAGAAATGCCCTACCCTTTTTTTTTGTTTGTTTGTTTAGGAATAAACTCCTTGTTTGTTCTCAGTGCAGAAGTCATAGCTGAAGAGACTTGTGAAAAAGAAGAAAAAGAATGTAATGAACCATGCATTATAACCATAGGACCAATAAAGATGGGTAGTGATCCTCCTATTTCCTGTTTGCTAAGGCCAGTAATACCAAATACATGGAGCTAATGGTTCTGATGGACTATGTGCTGCTCTGCTAAAGGAAGTAATACTGCTGACAGCTTTTAGTTATGCAAGAAATGACCTCTGCAACCTTCTTAGCTGTCACCTACTGAAGGATACTGTACATAAACCACTTAGCAAAGTATGACAAGGCCACTATGCAATGCCCAAAACACATCTGTGGTAATGCTCATACTAGATGTCAGCAAACTGTCAACACTTTACTTCAGGATATCATAGCAGCTGCATTATTTCATTTGAATGGATCAGAAAGAACAAGGTATCAACAAAAAAAGAAAGTTCAGCCTAACAAATACAAAATGGTAACTACTTAAAGGCAAGCTGTTAGAATGTATCATCTATCACCCTGCTTGAACAGGTTTGGAGGTTAGACCTCCAGCACAGTGTTCAGCACAGTGCTGAACAATGATGCTGGAAACTTCCTGAAAGATAATAGCACCCTGATGTCTGTATGACCATCCCTAGTCTCAAAATCATTCACAATGGGGAATCATTCTGGGGAATCAACTTTTTACAAGGGTAGACAGTAAGAAGACAAGGGGGAATGGTTTTAAGCTCAAGGAGGGGAAGTTTAGATTGGATGTCAGGGGGAAATTCTTCACAGAGAGAGCAGTGAGATCCTGCAACAGGCTGTCCAGAGAGGTTGTGGACACCCCATTCTTGGAAGTGATTGAGATCAGATTGGATGGGGCCATGGGCAGCCTGGTCTTGTACCAGATCTGGAGGTTGATGGCCCTGGCTGTTCCATGCAGGTTGGAATTTGATTATCCTGGGGACCCCTTTCAACCCAAGCCATTCTATGATTTTGTGATATTCCGATTCCCATTCTACCCTTTAGAATAACATAACTGTATTCATATGAATACACATATTAATTTTTAGAAGTTACCACAATAGTATTTCCACATACAAAATACATTTGCAAAAACAAAAAGTTGTCTGCTATTTGTTCTATTCCAAATACATCTTAGTACTGTATTTCAGCACTTGATAAAAGAAATAATAGTCTTAAGTAAATAAATATGAAGCACGTGCGTCTGGAGAAAATAAGGAAAAAGGGAGACAGAAATGGCTACAGAGATTTTCCCCTGGTTGACACTACTATCACACACATTCCCCAACTTCCCAAAGAAGATATCTTACTTAGAAGTAGTTGCTCCTCCAATCAGCAAAGGAATCTTTATTGCCAATCTCTCCATTTCTTTGGCGACAAATATCATTTCATCCAAAGATGGGGTGATGAGACCAGACAGACCAATAATATCTATTTAAAATTTACAAACACATACATATAAAAGGTTTAGGAAATCCCGTAAAAATTCATGCATCATTTTAGAATGGAAGTCTTTAATTCCTAGCTTCATGCATCAGATAGAAAACACTGAGATAGAAACCATGGTAATGTCTTCTACATTAGACAGGTTTACCGAAATCAGAAAGCTTTCCAAGAATGAAAGTGATTCTGAATCCTCAGTTTAAGAGATTTCTCAGTCTTCACAGCTGCTGAATACCCACTGCTCCAGCTTCACAATAAACATACAATACTTCTGATTAGCAAACTTCAAGCCTCAGAGCCTGAGTACTCTGCTCTTAGAAACAGCAAATGCCTTCCAATTTCACCACCTGTGTTCCATGCAAATCATCTTTTACAAGACTGTTTCACAACTGCAACTCAGTTCAGAAAACTCAATTTTTTTTCCTAGAATAATTCATTCTATTCCTTTGCTTTGGGAAGGCCAAATTCTTATACTGATTTAAAACCCAACATAAAGTTAGTCAGCCTTTCCAAATTTCCATTTATCCACGTGTAAAACAAATACTAAACAACAAATACTAAAGCATCTCTACAAGTAGAGTTGTCTTTTTAATGCAGGTTTTCAGTTCCTTGGGCTAAGTTTCATGGAAGAGCCAAATACTAAATAGTTATTACTGTTAACGGAAAAGTTTTGATTTACCTGAAGGTAGTCTGATAAAATAATAGACAGCACAGAAATGCAATGAGCAGGAAAAAAAAAAAAAAAAAAAAAAAAAAAAAAAAAAACAATAACAAAAAACCTGAAAAAAGCAGAGAGCAAGGTTTGAAATTAAATAATTCAGGAGTACTAATGAAATCTCTCTATACCTGCTTTGTTCTCAACAGCAGCTCTCAATATCTTATCACATGGAGTCATGACTCCTAAATCAATAACTCTGTGAAAAGAAGTAAGATGACAAGATTCTTTTAAAGAGTTCTGTTAAAGGTCAAACACATTGCTCTTACTGTGAACAGCTTATTGGAGTTAAAATAAAGATTAATTTGTTTGTTTCTCTCCACACAACTGCTGGGAGTTCTAATATAGAAACACCTATGAGTCTGGAAAAAAATTCAATACACTAAATTTACTAATGACACAGAAGACAGAAACATTGTGGGGTTTTTTGGCGATTAATTTTTTTTATTTGAGGTCATTCAGGCAGTACTAAGCATTTTTGTGGTATCACACCTTATGTCAGGAATATAAACTGACTTACTTTGTTGTTGTTTTTTTGTCATGCATTTTACGAAGTGAGACACTGCTGTTTGTTTGCTAGCACTCTATTCCTATTAGCCCAAGCCATTGTCAAAGTTTCTACCTATTTCCCACTCCCCTGCTTCAAGTGAGCCACACAAGCCCGCTGGCTTCATTCAGTCTCACTCATATTCACGATGACAGAAAACACCACTCCTTTAAGTTTAAAAAATAAAAAAAATAATAAAAAAAAAAAATCAACAAAGTTGGAAAAGAAAAAACGATTTCAAGAAGTAATGAAACAGGGTACATTGCATATACACAATGCTGTTACTTCCCTCAGTGCTTTGTGTTTTAAAATGATGAAATTATCTTTGCTCTCTTTCAAAGAACAAGTCAAAAACAAAACAAAATGAATGAATGACAAGACTGAGTTGCAGAGCATTCAGGTCCGCACAACAATCGACAGAGGGCCCTGACAGAAATATGACCGTTCGTTCCAACACCGCTGTCAACCCTGCTGTATGCACACAGGCTTTGAAAGTACTGACTCTTCTTGAAGTTTCATTTTTTTGAAGCTCAGAATTAAAATCTCATCTCCTATGTAACAAGATATACCACAGTTAGTTTTTAAAACCTTGTAGTTGACAAACAACTTGAAAACCATACCAAGATTTCCTTTTATCCCAGCACACCACAAAACACACAAGCAGTCTCGCCTACTGGAATTGTCCTGCCTGGTTTCTTCAGATAATACACTTCTATGTTTAAGGCTTTATACATACATTTAAATAATATTACATGCAACACTTAATTCTCCCACTTACTTTTCAGTTTAATATTAAACTGTATTCATCTCGGATGGCAATTTTTTAGGAAAAAGGAATTACAGAAAGATGCCCTCTTGCCTCCAGATTTGTAGTAACTGGTACAATCTATGTTCCCTGTCACAGCTATGGGAAGGAAGAACAGTTCCTAATATATGCCCATCTCTAACTATTATCTCCACAGCCTCAGTAGGCCTAGTATACTAACTATTTAGCTTTTTACAGTTATGCTACACAGTTTTAGTCTCTTTACCTGAAGTTGTTGCAGCCCAGAACAACTCCCACAATGTTCTTGCCAATATCATGTACATCACCTTTCACAGTTGCTAGTACTATTGTACCATTATAAGGATCCTGAAAGTTGAACAAATGGCACAAGAATTCAATTACTCATAAGCTTCAGTATTCTCTTATCAGCAGAAGTGACATAATCAATATTAACAACTCCTTCATAAGATGCAGGTAATAAAAACTTGCACAAGACACGTTCATGCAAATTGACTGCATGTTTTTCAAAACTGTTAAGAAAAGTAACACAATGCCACTCACAAGAAAATCAGACTTGGATAGCATTCTGTGTAGTGCAATAACTGGAATCCTATAAAGTACTTCTGTTTCAAGTGAAAAAACTCACCAATAAATATTTTAAATATTTAAAATAATAGGGCATGCAGGTTCATAATCATACATCTGCTCATGCATCAAGGGCAATCTTTCTTCAATGCAATGGTGAGCAGAATGAAAGAAATTCCATGAGAGGAATCAGGAAAAGCAGAAAAGACTCCTGAGCAAGGAGGTCCTCAAGTTCTGGGCACATATCCAAAATGCTTCTTTTTTAAAACTTGATAGAGATCCACAGCCACAGCTATTTATCCTCAAATGTAGCTATCAACTTTTTACGCAACATAAGCAGCAAGAGACATTTCAGTGCAGTGATCAGGCTACTTCAAACTGCCCAGTTTGAACAAAGACTTTGGAAAAAGAATCTCCTTGAAGAAGGGAATGTGCACTGTCAGACTGAGCCTAAGTTAGGTGGCACTCAGCCCTGACAAAGGGTCCTGCCAGAAGTGTAGTAGTGGAATTCCTCTACAATCCTCCAGTAAGACATGAGTCTTTGTGATACATTTTTAGAGGTCTAATTCATATTGTCGTTTGGAGCAGCTCCAGCCATGTTTGCATTGATGCAGGATGAAATGCCAGTAGCAGACTACCTGATTTGCACAGAATTTAAATCAAGTGGAAACCTGAGCACGTTGAATTTGAAAATACCTACCAGCCCAGCCAGAACGTCACCTCCTTTGCAGAGGGCCAAAGCATATTCAATTCCTTGACACTATAAATTAGTTTCATTTTCTGGGGGTTGGGTGGCTTTATATAGAGATAATAGCATTTACCATTTCCCATGGTCCTAACACAATTAGTTGGGACATTGGGAATCCTTATCAATGCTGCTGCTTACTAAAAATCTACCATCTCCTCAGTGCTCCCATTTTACAGAAGAACACAGAACTACAAATGCAAAATGAAGGCAAGTCAGCCATCTCTATACAAAAATGCAAATTTCGCAGCTGAAAATAAGTTGCTGGAATGTAAGAGAAAGGTTGGGAAATAAATTAACCAAACATTGGGAGATCAAAAAATGTTGCTCCCAGGAACTGCTGATGATTTAACTAGTGACTGATATGCAAGTAAAAACATTGCCTATGAGAAGAATGAATACGTGAGCTGAGCAACAAACAACCTGGGCCAGAGCACACAGTATTTCAGCACTTTGAATAAACCCTACTTAGGGCACATTGTGGTTTCAATTGTCTCAAACAAGGAGGTCCTCAAGTTCTGGGCACATATCCAGAATGCTTCTTTTTTAAATCTTGATAGAGATCCACAGCCACAGCTATTTATCCTCAAATGTAGCTATCAACACAATGCATTTCCCGGCAGTGTGAGACTAAAACCATCCTGGAGGTTACAGTAACCTGGGTAACATTAGACAGATCAGCTACCAGAGCCTGTAACTCATTTTTATCCCAGTCCAAATCTAAATTTGGGGATAAATGCAGCTGGTTTTTCTCTCTCCAGTGACAAAAATACTCACAAAGATTAAACCCTCGCCCAGCAGAATGTGGAAGAAGCAAAACGACAGGGGCTCTATATTTTCCCTTCTGTTCCCCCTCAAGCACATACAGTGACTCACAATCTTTTGTGGTATTTTTAAAGGACTTCCTAGATTCCACTTATCACATTTTAGTCAGAGAATTAAGTGCCAGTAGGTCCTAGTCCAGTGCTCAGGGAGGAATACAGTAACAAATTTCACTGATTTCAAATAGCACCAGAACAAACCAGAAGGTACCAAATACCAGCATTGTTATCTGCATTAAATTAAGAAACAGCAGAAGCAGGAAAAAGATGACAAACAGAAAGGTGACTCATGACAAGAGAACAGATCTGCTTGAGACATTAGAGAGAAGACACTGTCTTTACATGCAGAAAAGACTATGGTTCCATTGAGATTAGTGGGATTTGATTTTCAGGTTGTTCTTCTTTCTAAAATATTAGTTGGACTCTTTAGACTTATCACTCAACAGATTCACAGCAAATGGAAAGATATACAGTAAGAACATTCGAGGGGAGGAATTAGAAACCACTCAAAAACCCAGAGAAAAAATGCCAAAGAAAACACACAAATATCACCTTTTCTCTAGACTCAGGCCATTCTTCTTTCTTATTTGTGTCAAACACCAGATTATGATAAAAACTATTGCCTCTAAGAACGCACGAAGACAATGTAATGTTCCACAGGACAAAAGAAAAGTTTCTGCACAACATATAAATTTGACAGTCAAAGGCAAGAGTAGAAGAAAAGTATTTAAATCAATAAAACTGCACCTATAATTAAAGTACAGTAGACATGAGTATTATAAGACTTTGTCTATTTCTTCTGAACTTTTCTGCTGCACAGAATCTTGCTAGTACCGAGAAAGAACAGATGTCCTATGTCCTCATTTTCCAGTGCTCCCATAACACACTCCATTAATCAAATTTGAAAGAAGGTACTTGTAGCATATGCTCAGATAATTAATAAAACTTTTCTCAGAGAGTAATCATCAGTTGTTACCTGTCAAATAGGAAGATGCTATAAAGGAAAGGCCTACAAGAATCAGAAAATAATTTGGTAACCTACATTACCAAAGTTACCAAAATAACTAAGATGATAGATCAAATGCAAGAACAACATTAGGGAGGACGTAAAAGGACAGGAGTAGGATTCAGGATCAACTTGATACACTGAATAAGCTTTCTAAAATCAATAAGATAAAATTCAGTAACAGTACTACAAACATGACACATAGGGTTAAAATAAAAAAGGATAGAAAGAAAATCTAAAACAGACAACAGCTTGCAAAAAATTTAAACATGATACATATTAGAGGGCAAAATTGGTATTCAAAGTCAATACAAGACTACAAAGCCCACTGCCAGATATTTTGTTTGGCACTGGCAAAGCCTCAGGCAAACGCAGAGCTGATTGGGTGTCCTACTAAAGCCTCTCCACATCATAAGTCACATAAGAATAAAAGCTCTTAACTTCTACAGGCAATATACTGTATTGCTTTAGCATCACTAAGGCATTTTGCTCCCTCCACAGACTAACTTAAATATCTTTCCACTGAAATTTAAGATCCATTTACTCTCGGTAGGACACAGAAACTTTATTTCTTTAGTCTCTACAAGTATGTCTAACATGTCAAGACTGCACGGTATTTTGTTGCCTTCAGACTTCATAACAGGTCAATGCCTCCAAACTTTCACTGAAGGTTTCACCGTCTGCATTTCAGAATCATTCTTATTGGTCTCTTTTGAAATGTTTTTACTGGTTAACATATTTTCCTTGAGTACCATCTTGAAAACTTGACGCTGTCCTTGTCCTACCAATGAGCTGAGTAGAGCAGAAAATTCTGTACATTTCACTTTGCTAGTTTTTTTTTGTTTGTTTCCTAGTCATATGAAAATGCTGATTTACCTGCTATTTGTAACAACCACAATCCTTTCTCTGGGAACTCACTACCTACTCAGTTACTACTTATCTTTTATTTGTGTCAGTTGAGTATTTCTGCTTCCATATTATTACTTTGTATATTTGCTGTATTATATTACAAGTAGCCTTCAGAAAGCAGGAGCAGTGATCACATGAAAAGACAACTAACTTTTCATAGAGCACTTGTCACCCACAGCTTGGTCATAGCAACACATACAGTGAGTATACTATTCTATCATAGCAAAAGGTCTTATGTCATATCTTAAAAAAAAAAAAAAAAAAAAAAAAAAAAAAAATGCAGTTTGGTTAGTTTACCTGAGAATGGTCAGAGGGAAGTTCTGAGTAAAGGGAAACATGGGCATGAGCAGTAAAAGCCATTGGAAAAATTTGCCACAATCAATGCTAAAAATAGATGATATAAATAATACTAGAATTAAATGTCTACACAAATGCAAAAAGAAACAACAGAATTAAGGGCCTATAAAAGCTTGTGGCATCCTCCAATACACTCTGACAACAGATTAGGCAAGTACCAAGTAGAGCTTCAGAAAATCTGCACCTCGTGAACTTCAGACCAACTTAAAATTAAGCCAAGATTGTCAGTTTTCATATGGTTGGATCAATTCTACAGCATAAAAACAAATGTTAACAAAAAATAATTTCAGTTTTTGACACTGCGTACTACAAAAGAGTTACTAAACAAAGGACTGTGTCTTGCCTCTTCCTCTGAGCTGCCTTGTTTGGCTCTCCTTTCTTCTCTTTCTTTTTCCATGTAAGGAATAAGGTGGCTAACTGCTTTCTTCATAACTCGAGCAGACTTTATCACCTGCACAGATAAATGGAAGAAAAAAAAAAAAAAAGAGGGAGAAAATTCAATAGCAAAGATGAAATACAGGAATACCCTAAAATCCATTCAGACAACAAAACTTTTTCGCAAACCTAGATTCCATCTTGGCAGAGCATTGTTTGGTAATAGGCTGCTAGCTGTGAAATCTCTTTGATCGCTCACAACAGAATGAGAAGCTACAAACAAGTTCAGATTTAGGTACTAAGCGTGGCAGCCTGCTTGTAATCAAATGATATTTTACTTGGATCTTTTTTCCCCTTTTGCTCTTTATCATGGGCCCAGATTTAAGACTACACTTTAAATAAAGCAAAAAGCCTCAGAGAGAAAGGGAAGAAAAATGCAAAGATATATAAAAAAAAAATCAACTTCCAAAGTACAAAAGAAACAGGGCCACTTTCTGGCAGTATCTGCATTTTCACAATTCAAGTACTATGTCTGAAAAAAGAAACAGCATAGAATGTTTAGTTTTTGCCAAATTTGAAAACACGTTAAATAACATTCTCCTTACCTGAGGCAGAAACATCTTCCCAGCACCAAAAAGATCACCAACAATTTTCATGCCATTCATCAAAGGCCCTTCAATTACATTTAGAGGTCTAGGGTATTTTTCCTGATTTAATCTTGCTTCTTCTGTATCTGCAGTGACATACTTCTCTATGCCCTGAGTAAGAAAAGAAAAGCTTTTATCATTCTAAAATAAAAAACCAAACTTATATTTAGCTGCCATCATACAAAAAAAAAAAAAAAAACAACCACCACCACAAAACCCAAAACAAAACAACCCCACAATGAACACACAAAAAAATAACCTTAGGTATTTCTAGACTTTAAGAGCAACTCAAATGTGTAACTACAGTAAGTTTCCTTACCAAGCAAAAGACTATAGTTCTGGGGAACAAGTTATTCCAAGTAATCATATCCAGCATTAGTGGGTTTAGTTTTCTAAATCATATCGTAACAGAACCATGCATTTACATGAAAAGCTCCCTCAGCACAAGTGCAACTCAGTGCAGTTTTGTTAAACCACACACTCAAAAAAACCTCTACCAGAAACAAACAACAACTAAAAAAAAACAACACCAAACCACCCAAAGCATGTTCTAACACCAGCCAGAATAAGACTTTAAAAGTCATGGGCATCAAGTTCTGAAGTTTAAAGAAAAATCACAGTAATTCTTTGTTCATTACTTTATTTAATTGGTATTTATTCTTAATAATTTTTAAAACAGCAGCAGCTGGGAAGTTTTTAAGACAAGAGTAGTCCTTATAGAATATGAGCTGAAATTATATATCTCTAAAAGCCATGGACCATTCACTTGGGTAGGACAACCTTCTGCACATACTCACTTTTACAAGAGCATATTCCAGTCTTTCCTCCACAGTGCTGTTCCGCCATTCATCAGTTTGTATCACTTTTTTTCCTCCTTGGGCATGATTCTGAACAGAAAAAAAGATTTCCACAGGAGCTTATCAGCACAAAAACTACATTTATGGATTTCACTTTTAAAGAAATAGAGATAACTAAGCATTGACCCACAAAATAATTTCAGATTATTCTAAAATGTTTCTTGTTCATATATACATGCAAACCACACTGCAAACACACATGATGTATTACAAACACTTCGTAGGTTTATATCCCAGAGAGTACTGACCTCAGCAAAGATGTAAACAAAGTGGAAGTGAAGGTGTGGAAAAGGAAGAGTTCTAATAACTTTCACACTCCTAAAAAATGATGGAATTATTAATCCTTTGGGTTTTAATTCTGGGAATGTAATTTACATTGATTTCTGACCCACACATGACACTTCATGTTAAAAACCTAATTAATTTGGCACAATTCAGTTACTGCTGCAATAGGTTATGTTACTCCATATCACAGATACGTTTTTCAATCTGAAGATCTACAAGAACTACTGTTTGTCATCCACATACATAGGTGGGCTCCAATCCTCACATACTCTTTGCCTCATAATCCAGTGGCTTATAAACTGGAAATCTTCATGTCTTTTATTAACATTACCATGACAGGATCTCAAAATTAGCTAACAGCTGATCCTCACTGACATGAGTAACTTGAACTGGAAAGCCAGGATATTGACCTTTTACATATACTCCAAGCAAGCTATCACCACTAGTGAGATAGGTTTACTCTCTGCCTCTCACAGCATGCTTTCCAATTATGCTCCAGCTCCACAATTTGATTTGGCTGTGGGTTGGGCATTCCCGATTTTATTTTCTTGGATCTTTTATGGCAACTTTAAAATCTGATGGGCTCAATCTGTTACAAAGTTTACATTTTATTCTATACTAATAATGCAACTACTTGTAGCAGCAGCAGGAACTTCTAATACTTACCTTTGGATTGACAGACATGTATTTCAAAGGCTCATTTAGCTATCGCCAGCATTAAAGCCCAGGTGTTAAGCTAAAAGCTATCCAAAATTTAAAATTTGAAGTTACCTGAGCATAATGTAGAAGCTTCTCTGTCGCATCGGGATCTTTGTTCCAGATTAGATTCTCACATAGCTGTAGCAATTCCTTGTGGATGTCATCATACACCGGCAGATTCCCAGCATTCACAATTCCCATATCCATGCCATACTAAAAAAAACAAAACAAAACAAAAAAAAACCCCACCATCATACAGGAATTCCCCCCAAACAGAGCTGTCAGATGCAGCATTGCATTTGCCAAGCACAAACATATGGAAGCCAACACATATCATACCCGAATTGCATGGTATAGGAACACCCCATGCATTGCTTCTCGAATGGCATCCATTCCTCGAAAGGAGAAAGACAGATTGGAAAGACCCCCACTTATTCTGACACCTGGCAGTGTTTCCTGTGGGAATTGCACACAGTGTTTTAGAAAAAAGCTTTCCAAAAAAGAAACTTAAGCACAGCATTCAGTCATAAAAGAGCTGGGCACCTCAGTGATGATGCACTGGCTATGCACCCTTTTCCCTGTTCCAGATCCTTCTAATTATTCGAAGTCAAAGAAAGAAGTTAAAATATCTGCAGGAAAAGCTACAAACAAAAAGGAAAGATCTACTCCAGCTACATGTAAATAACTGCCATCATTCTCATTGGTACTATTCTAAATACACAGGTTGTCCCTCAGGAGCATTCCAGATGTCCCCCTTGCTGAATTACTGTGGCTCTCCCATTCCCCTGACAGGACTCTCCTCTTGAAACAGGAGGGGTGACAAAATATCCTGTGAAGGTGTTCAAACCCTAGACTGCTACTGACAGAGCATCTCCAGACTGATCTAGTTGGGTGCTTAGCTGTATTCAGGTGATTTTCTTCATTATTGGTCTTTCTTACACAAATTTTAGCTAAATAAAAGGTCAGGTAATGGCACAAAACTGCACCAGTAACTGAAATTACGTTAAAAGGACAACCTTTGCAAGCCTTCAAAGAAAACCTTTGGCTAGAACAATGACTGCAATTATTACTTTCTTTAATTAATATAGCATATTTACATTAAAGTTTGCAGATTGAAAAATATTAATCAAAGTATTTAAAACTGTTCTGGAAATACAGCAATACTGGGAACTGGCTCCACTCCAGGTGAATAGGCCCCTTGGTACTTTAAAATGGCTGTTATTTGCAGTGATGATTTTTGTTGGTGGTGCTGGTAGTCTTTGGTTGCTTTCCTTTTAAATAACCCCAATAAAATACTTTGAGTTAAAATAAGCTTAAAACTCACTTTTATGGTTTTAGTAGCATTGATAAAATTAATGGCATATAGGTTATGTTCTTCCATTCCAGTCCCTATGGTCAAAATATTAGGGTCAAATATTATATCATTTGGATTGAAGTGTACTTTTTCCACAAGGAGGTGGTATGCTCTGGAGCAGATTGCAATCTTGGTTTCTGTTTCTGTTGCCTGGTGAAGAAAAAGAATTCTGATGTGAGAGTTACACACAGCACAAAATATAAAGCCTGCCAGAAATCATTTACAATTAAACTGGCTCAAGAATACAGAATCCCAGTCTCAATATCATAAGCATTAGAAAACATATACAAGATTTTAATTATTTTTTTTTTTAACTAAAGACATCACTAACACCCCACCTTCATTAGAGTTTTGATTGAACTTACTGAAAATAATTTTGCTCCTATTTCACCATCTGATGTGAAGTTTAATATGCGTTTTTTAAAATGACTAAATGAATCCAGAGATTCCATTCATATTCAAAACTCAGTTTCTGAACTAAAAGAAATATTATCTGAAGGAAGGAAGCGTAGTGGAAGAGCAAGAGACACATCTGTGCTAGCAGAACTACCTCTGAAGCAGAACGAAGTTCCTCAAACATGCAGTCAGTAAAAGAAACACCTACTAAGACTACATATAAATCTCTTTATATCACCAGTGCCAATGAAACAAAACAACCTTGTCTTGCAGAGTAAGGAAGACTTACACTCCAAAAAAAAAAAAAAGCCTTCCTGTAACACTCACCTGACCAACTTCATCAAAAGCCATGACAACCACAGCTGCCCCATACAATTTAATTTTCTTTGCTTTCTCTAGAAAGTCTTCTTCACCTTCCTTCAGACTGATGCTGTTTACAATGCATTTTCCTTGGCAGCATTTCAAGCCAGCTTCAATCACTGAAAAATTTGAAGAATCAATGCATAGTGGCACCTATAAAGAACAGAAAGATGAACAACGGGATACATACAAGTTATGAGTCTAGTGTTTCATATCTTGTTTGCTTTATTTGGACATAAAAACGCACACACATTTACCAGCATTTATGAACAACAAATTTTCAGACGGTGTTTGTAGATACCCTTTTTTTAAACACAAAACTCAGAGCAAGTTTAACTCAAGAATTTCTATGACAATTTCTTTATACTCATAACTGCTGCAAGAGCAACCTATGCTAAGTTGCTCTAACTAATGAAAAAGAATGGCATATACCTAGCTGAAAGTGGATACAGATTGTTAAAATCTCAATTCCCTTCAGACGCCTTCCCTACTAAGATACCTTCCTGACACTGGGTAACATCTGTATCTGAGTGTTAAGCATCTAAACTGGATAATAAACGAAAATTTTCTGAAAGCAAATTCCAACTCAAAGTGATCTCTACTCTAGTGTGCTTTGGAGTGACTCCATTACAACCTTTGCAATATCAGGTTCTGAAGAAATCAAGTTACAAAATCTAGTCATTGCAGAAGGTCCATCCAGCATCCCATCATCCATATTGATGTCAAGAATCTGGGCTCCCATCTCAACTTGGGATTTGGCTACAGTCAGGGCTTCCTAAAGAAGAGATTTTAAACCAAAAAGCAGTCAGCAGAATACAGCCTACTCATTCTCACCATCACATTTAACTTCTCCAAAATAAATGTATAGATCTACAAATTATCAAAATAAAAAAAATAGGAGTTTATAGGACAGTCCAAAAAATAATAAGGAAGTGACTTGTTATATACAGCAGTGTAACAAAAGTTGCTAGCACAGCACAACTGATAACTACTTTGTTCACAAAAACATGACAACGTAAATTTAATGTGGCATTGATTTTAGACAGCTGGTCATACACATAATTGAAAGAGCTAAGATTTGCATGGTAACAAGGACTTCTGATTGCACATGATTACAGGAAAACAGACTCTGTGATAGTATCGAATAAGGGTCTTCGGCATCACAAGCTACACTCTTTTATAACACAGAGTAGTTTATTTTTGGAGGTTGTTTAGCATTTTTTTCCATCTGCAGAATCATCACCAAGCATTGAGAAACTAAAACTTTCCCTTCAGACCAAATATCCAGGACTCTCAGCTTCCTTTCTCTTTTTTTTGTCACTATAACAGGCAAGAAAAAAAAAGTTTTACAGCTGTTCATGGACCCTGACAACCTGTGTTTGAAGTTTTCCATATTAAATAGGTCAAACCTGCTTCATGACTTCTAAGAGCTTAAGAGTCAGACTTTCTAACAAGCAAACTAAGGCTTTAGTTTTGATTGCATCAAGAGCAAAGCATACTTCAGGGCAGAATCTCAGCTGCCAAGAAATGTTACTCTACTGCTTGTTTGAATGTAACAGCAACAACTGACACACTTAAAGAATGAGCCCTCTGGTCTTCACATTCCTGCCCTTCCACTGTTTCAAGATACCAATTACTGTCTAAACATCTTTTTCTGTAACAACTCTCATTTAGCATGGTGGATCAAAGTATATACACATCAGATGCAAACAAAATGCTGACCAGATCGGAGATTAGATGGAAATAAAGAGGGCTGCACAGTACTGCAAACTATTCCAAATCAGACATACTGCACAGGTTGGAGGTAAGAACGATTTCCTCTCCTCTGCAAATCTGCTCCTAGATACAGCACCGTATATCGTGTAGACTGGTCTGCTGAACAATTTAATTCAAAATATAAAGTCATGTTTACTGTAACACTTGTCAAAGCAAACAAACAAAAAAAAGCTTGTAAGGCTGCTCTTGCACAATTAATTAGGAGCCAGTAAGCTCAGAAGCAAAGGATAGTAAGAAAATTCATTCTCCTTATTTTCTTACTTTTGTAGAATGGCACTTTTTGCCAGGAAAACAAACTACTAATAACACAATACAGTGGAATAACGAAAAAGCATAAATAAATTGAGAACAACATCTATTAAAATTATTGTTAAAATTTATACTTCATAGTTGCCTGCCATGATGAGTGTAGCAAACTTCCGTGATCCTGCAACATTGCAGCGTTCGCCAATATTAACAAAGTTGGTGTATGGCCCAATCCTGAATGGCTCCAGACCTTGAAAAGATATTTTTGAACATATTTGTAAAAATATAAAAGAAAACACTGCACGAAAAACAATAGCATTCATCTATGCCATAAATCAGAAGTTTCTATTACTTTAATAGTGATTTCTCAGCACACCAGGGCATGCACAGGTCTACTGAACAACTGGCAATGAGATACAACAAAGCAACTTCCAGCAAACACCAAATGTTTCTGTTCTTCCTCAATGATTCATCCAATCAACAAGACATACGAGGACAAGTGGAAATAGTTTCAAACCAGAACAGGGAAGATTTAGATTAGATATAAGGAAGACATTTAATACAATAAGAGTGGTGAGGCACTGGTACCAGTTACTGGTAGAGGTTGATGCCCTGTCCTTAGAGACACCCAAAATCAGGCTGGATGGGACTCTGAGCACCCAATCTAGCTGTAGATGACCCTATTCATTGCAGGGGAGTTGGACTAGATGGTCTTTAAAGGTCCCTTCCAACTCACAATTCTACGATAATCTGTCCAAAATAAATGTCACAAAGCAATGATTCTCTGGGCTTCTGTGCATATGCAGATACACACACAACTTGTCTCAGTTTCTTACTACATTATCTCATGATAACATGACCAGAGAAAGAGCCCACTGAACTGGCAGAGAAACAAGGACATCTCTTATCCAAAAACCTAAGTTCAGAATAAACCAGCCAAGGAGGAACTTTGCATAGCAGGTAACTCAGAGACAAGCAAACTTTATGGCAGAACAGAGTAGGCTACTAGATGAAATCATGAGCTAATCGTGATTTAATTTATAACAAAGTAATTTACCTATATGGAAGGAACTGTTTAAATTGAAGACTTCAGAGAAAGGCTTATTAACATATAGACTCAGCTCTACCTAAAACAAAAGATGTTCTAGAGCTGTGTTACTGCAACGCTAACAAGTGTCCCCACACCTGAGGCAAAAAAGGGCAGCTGCCTCACAGCAGATGAACAAGGATCTCTTCCCAACTCTCTCACCAGCTACAGTCAGATTACCTGATTTCTCTCAGCTTATCTTTAGTTCGCAGTGCAGGAGAGTTAAAGATACTCAACACTACAAAATATTTGAGATTTTCTGAGTAAAATTTGTTGGCTTGATTATATTATACAATAAATATAAGTTACAATAATGCAATAAGTACGATTTAGATAAACTTGTACATTGTAAGCTTGCTGGATTCGGTTAGAATCAGAAACTCATAGTGCCATTCCGATCAGGAGAAAACAGTTAAATGTATAAAGTAAGGCTGCATGAGTTATAAAGCCACATCCTATTTTACCTGACAGCAGCATATATCCTTGAGAGAGAGAAGGTGGAACACGAGGCTTACATAATTTTACAGCTTCAGCAATTTTCCTGCATTAGAGAGTGGAAAATAAATAGGAAAGTTTTTGATTAAAATTGAACACTAACCAATACTCAACCATAACATGCTAGACATATAATAGCCTGTAGCACACAAGACTACTCAGCATGTTTCACTTTGTGCAGCTAAAGTCAAAAACATACTATTAGAAGATCCTATTACCACTATATGCAAGGAACCTACAAAAATAAAGATCTATCAAATACGGAATGCAAAATATTATGCCAGTGGGAAAATTTATGTAATACCACACCAGCCCTCACTTCAATCATGCTGACTTACTGTATTCCTAATTTACCAAAGCCACATAATTGCCAAGAGAAACAAAGAAAAAACAAGTGGTAAACATTGTTCTTAGCTGAGATTTTTTTCTTGGATGCTGGAATGACTCATGATGATCATGAGTTACCATCTTTCTCTTTGCTCCAGGCAGAAGTGACACACGCTGTCCTCTACATGCCTCTCAGTTTGTTATCAGAATAAAAATAAACCATAAGAGCCCCTTCTCTTTTAAGCCTAGGTGAAAAAAGGGAAGTTTTTCCACTGACCTACTTACAGTAAGAAAGATGAGAAACGATCTTTCTGAGGGGCCAGGACAATCAACAGAGCTGTTATTCAACATTCCCATTCCACATTCCAAGTTCATAAAAACTGCTCAGCTTTCTGAACGATTTCCCAACAGAAAAGTAGCAACGTAGAAGCACAAATGAATAACAAACACAGATGAACAACATTCCCAGGTCTCTTGTTCATACACTCCCCCAGCACCGCTATAATTTCTTCAACTATCAAAGGAAACCTGAAGTTTTATTATGAGTAAGAGTGCCAGAAAGCACTCAAAGGAAGAACACACAGAGTAATGAAGAAAAGATAGGAAGTCTATTCTATCAAATGGTGAACAAGGAAGAATAATTATAGAACAACAATTTCAAGACAATAAAACAGCACAGGTATAATCTCCGTTTGAACCATGTCTCTACTTATTCTTCATGAGACATTACTATGAAAGCCAGGTTCTGCTCCATGTATTGCTTTTTTTTTTTTTTTTAATAGTCATCCATCTTCTCAGAAAACTGTAAGAAGCCGTGGTATATTGCTCCTCAGAAGCAGCATTTAATTTAATTTCTAGTGCACCTTAAGTCACAGCTCATTAGATACCTGATATGTGCTGGTGTAGTACCACAGCAACCTCCAACTATGTTGACCAAACCATCCAATGCAAAATTCTGCAAAAAGGAGGAAAACAGAGAATTTAATTTTAAGTTAATATAGGCATCTTATAAAAATATATACATATTTACATATATATACATATATACATATATATATGTATATGCACACACACACATACACACATATACTGATATATGCTTTTCTTCTTCCCCCTAAACGTTAAGCAATTCTGGGGACCACAAGACAAAAAAAAAAAAAAAAAAAATAGTTGAAGAAACAAACATTATTTCTGCTCTTTAGAATTTGTTCTGAAATGTGGACACCCAGAGCTACCCAGAAATTCCAACACCTAATTTTAGGAAACTAGATCTGAAACTGATCTATTTTATAGTGAAGCCCCAGGTAAAAACTGACATGAATATCAAAGACCACACGTACTACAGCATAAAAGGGAATTAACATGCAACAGATACTGTGTTTTTCCAACACTAGCCACATAGTTCTGTCCTGCACTTATCAAGTAGCACTTGAAAAGACACTTTGCACTGGAACGCCTCAAGCATCAGGTATTCTACCCAAACAACTCTGTAAAACTTCACCAAGTTTATAAAAACTACTCAGCTTTTTGAATGACTCCAAAACAGGAAAGTAACCATGTAGAAGCACAGATGAGTAATATCCACAGATAAAGCTGCAAGAAGGCTACTCAAATCAAAGAGAAAACAGTTTTCAGTTTCTTAAGTAGCTTGTCCGAACCCGGTATCCTGAATGCACTATCATTCAATAAACTGTCTATAAAGAATCAAACTGACATTCAGGGCCAAATGAGGAAAAGAAACAGTACTGTAACAAATAAGCATCCAATATAAGCAAAGAACTGTTGTCTACAAGCAGATTAATTATGACACTTTCACAAGAAATACTGTATACCTTTATGTGCTTTGCAGTCACTTCTGGAGTTTCATCATAACCACCAAAAGTATTCGGAAGACCTTGAAAAATAATTTTCTTTGCATTACAACTTGTTAAATCCCCCAAGAACAGAACTATATTCCATTAAAGACATACTTTAAAAAGCTACACTTATATGAAGACTAGAATTCCTCATCACACTTGGAATCTTACTCACAGGCTATTAATCACACGAGAGAGCATTCTAGATTCACTGTCACAGAACCAACAATAGCTATTTTAAGCAGTTTAGAAAATTGTTAAACTCTTCTTAATGGCAGGAACAGTAATTTCTCAAGGTAGTTCAGCTCTTATATACCATGAGATGCAATTGTTACAGTTCTTCCCCCTCTAAGTATAGCAGCATGCACAAATAACACACCTGCATTGGGGTAACAGATGACATATGCTGCTGTACATTTTCCAATTGTTTCAATGAATGGTCTCATTTCAACCGCTCCTAAAGCACAATTTAAGCCAATGCTGAAAGATAAAATTTTAAATACTGTTGGTTTTTTTTTTTTTTTTAATTAAAATGTCAGATAAAATTACACACAAGATAAATGAATGTTAGTAGTGAAACAACTGATTCACACAGCCATCTTCAAGAAAACCAGTCTGATCTCCCCTTTCTTTAATTAATTTAATTTCCATCTATAAAACAAACCTGTGCAAAAGAAGAATCATAAGAAACAAGAAAAGGGCAAAGGGGAAGGAGACAAGTCTGAATTGAACTGGGAATAGTATATCAAAATTCTGTTTAACAATCAAGGAGTAAAGAGACAACATCCTGAAAGCAACTGCATAGAATGATAGAAGGCTTGAGTTGGAAAGGACCTCAAGTATGGAGTTCTAACAGCTACATCAAATACTACATTAGATTTCCCAGGGCCCTATCCAACCTGCCTTAAATATCTCCAGGGACAGCATATCCACAATCTTTCTGGGAAACCTGTTCCATCACCTCACCACTCTCTCGGTAAAAAAATTTCCCCCGACTTCTAATCTAAAGCTTCCCTCTTTTAGTTTAAAACCACTCTGCCTCATCCTATAAGTATCTACCTGGGTAAAAAGTTGATTTACCTCATGTTTATAAACTTCCTTTAGATATTGGAAGGCCATGATGAGGTCTCCCTGCAGCTTTCTCTTTTTCAGGCTGAACAACTCCAGTTCATTCAGCCTGTCTTTGCAGAAGTGATCCAGTCCCTAGATCATCTTCGTGACCCTCTTCTGGACCCTCTTCAAAATCTCCACACCTTTTCTGTGTTAGGAGCACCAGACTTGGATGCAGTATGCCAGCTGGGGCTTCACAAGGGCAGAGTAGAGAGAGACAATCAACTCCCTACTGGCCATCTCTCTTCTAATGGAACTCAAGGTACCACTGGCCTTCTGGGCTGCTGACTTATATTTAGTTTTTCACTCACAAGGACCTCTAAGTTATATTCAGTAGGGCTACTCTTGAGTTCTTCTCCCAGTCTTCATACATATCTGGGATTATCTTGACCCAAGTGCAAATCCTTGCACTTTGCTTTGTTGAACCTCATTAGGTTCACAAGAGCCCACCTTTTGAATTTATCAAGGTCCCTCTGGATGGCATCTCTTCCTTCTGCTTTATAAACTGTACAGCTCAGCTTAGTGCCACCATTAAACTTGCTGAAAGTGCACTCAATCCCGCCATCTATGTCATTGATAAAGATGTTAAAGGGTAGTGATCCCAAGATGGACCCCTGGGGGACACCGCTCATTAATGGCCTCCACCTGGACACAAATCCACTGACCACAGCCCTCTGATGGCAGCCTTGCAATCCATTCCTTCTCCATCAAATAGCATACCCTTCAAATTCTCCAATTCAGAGGTAAGGATGTGGTGGGGGAACATGTTAAAGGCTTTGTAAAAGTCCTGGTAGATTACATGAGTTGTCTTCTCTTTGTCCACCAGTATTGTCACTCCGCCACAGAAGGCCATCAGATTGGTCCTTCCCTGACCTTCCCTCAGTGAAGCCATGCTGGCTGTCTTGGATCACCCACTTGTTCCTCATGCCTTAACATGTTTTCCAGGAGCGTCTGCTCCATGATCTTCCTGGGCACAGAAGTGAGGCTCACCAGCCTGTAGTTCTCCAGGTCCTCCTTCCTCTCCTTCCTGTAAATGGGAGTGATGCTTTCTTTTTTTCAGTCCCCTGGGACTTTTCAAACATGATGGCAAGTGGCTTGGCAACCACATAAGCCAGCTCCTTTAGGACCCTGGGATGCATGTCATCCAGCTCCATGGAATTGTGCACATCCAGTCTCATGAGTTGGTCACAATCCTTACAGTGGGGAGGTGTTTGCTGCCCCACTTCCCACCTACATGTTCAGGAATGTGGGATTCCTGGCTCCCAGTGAAGACTGAGGCAAATAACTCATTGAGTACCTCAGCCTTATCCGTATCTGTTACAGCCAGTTCTCCTTTCTCATTTAGCAGAGAAGGTATGCTCTCTTTGGCCTGTCTCTTCTGACATATTTACCCGAAGAGTCCCTTCTTATTTTTAACATCCTTTACCAAGTTCAGTTCAAACTGCAGCAACATACCTATTTTCTAAATGCAAAAGAGAACATGTGTAATGAGAACAACAGACTGAAAAAGAGCCTTGTTCTAAGGAATAAAAAAAAAGGTTGGAAGAGCAAGAATTGCTTCAAGCCACGAACTCAATAATTCTGCTTAGAAATTATACATAAATTATGTCAACTTTGGAAGACACTGAGTGCATCCCCCAGGACACCTCAAAGCAGCACTAAGTTTGGGCAACTGAATCTGCTCAGCACATTATTTTACATCTTAGTGACGCAGACAGAACTACAGCTTCTGCTGTAGTCTGCGTGACTAAAGCTCTCACAATTCTACTGACATAAGTGGAACAATCATGTTTTCCTTCATTCAGCCACACATACAAAAATGCAGTTTTTACTCAAAATGTCTGTATTGATATTAGAAGCGAAAATTTATATTTCAGAAAGTACATAAGAGATCTTTTTCATTGTGATCCTGGTTTCTAGAAACCATCCTAAAAGCACAATAAAACCTGAAAGATGTTTACAGTGCTGCTGAAAGGAGTAATAATCATCACAACATCATCCTGAATTTTATCTCCCTTCCTTGCTCATTGCTTCATATAAGTGATACATCAGCTTCTGTGAAAGCTAAGACTGCAGAGTGCCCTTGGGACCAGAACAAACACCACATGAGAGTCCTGAACTCAGGATATATCTTAACAGTAACATAGTAGGAATAACACAAACAAAACTCATTCCACACCTGAGCTTCCTTTGCAGCAAGCATCTGGCAACACATCCTTCAGCACTTATAGTAACAGTTCACGCATTTCTCAGCCGCTATCTTGTCAACTAAACAGAGGACACATGTTTTAGGCAGACCCCAAACCAAACTGACTGAAGGACAACGCATCACCCTGAACAAGAAATACAAAACCAAAAAGGAAATATGTGAACAGGTCCCTACAAACATGAACATGATCCCTAGGATACTATGTCTGATCAGCTTTTTCCTAAACCCTGAAGACACTCAATCTCAATCTGCCAAGATGAACTGTTTAATGCAATCTGCTCCCACAACTAAGAACCTTCTGCCACAGTGCTGTGTAGCAGCCTTTGCACAAATGGGAAACAAGCCCTAAGCATTCAGACATATAAGATAGCTTTATTTAACAAAATTATTTAACAAATCCTTAATTTCTGCTCCAGTGCCCTTCTCTGCCCTTCAGAGAGAAGACAGTTATGAGCAATCTTATCTGAGATAGACATATGCCAAATACATATCACTAAACTGTGATGCTGAGCAAAAGAGTCAACTACTACTCTGTTCCAAGAGGCTCCATATGTTACTTCTGGAGCACCATCTGGTCTGGGAAAGTGAAGCCTCAAGGGCAGTCAGTAAAACTGTGAATGCAGTCTTCTGCTTTTGTATCACTGAGATGACAGATTGTGCATTTTCACTGGAATTTTGTTGTAAAAACAAACAATGGCTCATCACAACGTGCATAGTATGCACTGCTAATACCGAATTACATATTTTAAGTAAAATAACTTAGGAAAAAATATATATGTTTTCTTCATAAATTTGTGTGAGAAGAACCAACCTGAAAGAAAAAGTAGAAAAAAGTAGAAAAGTAGAAAAAGAATAGAAACACAGAATAGAGAAATAGGAAATAGTATTCAAATTAACATGCAAGACCTTGTACAATGACCAAAATCTGCTACAGTATGCATCTTCATAAGTCTTAATCTCATACTTTTTTTTTTTTTTTTTTTTTTTTTTCCTTCTGGCCTCAACAGATAAGAACAGGAGTTAAGTGGTGGAGTCAGGAGCTCTCAAAACCAACATGCACATCTTAGAGAAAAACACAATTTTGTAAAAATTCAGTAAAAATAACACTGGAATGAAATCTCACTATTTTGTCTTGCAATCCATCCTGAGATATTTTGAGCTGACACTGCTTCCCTCTAAGAAGATGCATGTTCTGCCCACCAGGGATTAGCTTCTTGCACAATCTGAGATAGTAAGAGATGCCAGAAATTTTTTTTTTTTTTTAAATGCTTCGACCTACTTGTGATTTCCAGGTTGTTACAAACACAGCACACCAAATTATTTACAGCAATGTTTTAAAGTTCCATGTTCTTTGGAAACATAACTTCTGCTGAGGGAACCATAGCAGAACTAAACAGCAATACGCGCGATAAAATTGAAAACTGTTAGTGTAACTTCCATTTCACTATGAACAAGGGGTCAAAATAAGAAAGAATCACATTCTACAAACTACTTACTAAGCAAGAGATACATTTCCTTACCAAAGTGGCTTACTGTGTGAAACACTAATGACGAATGCCTCTCCTGTCTGGCCCGAGAGGGTGCGTCCACTCTTATCTACGATGGTTCCAGAAACCTAATTACCAAGTGAACAGAGAGAAGAATTAAATCAATAAAAGCAAGAATTTAAAAGGCTGAAATGCTGAAAATCAAAACAGATGAACCTATAGTCCACTCAAAGTGATGAGACAACCAAAGTAGGGTTAGGCTTATTTTAATTAGTTGAACACAGCTAAGACTAATTTGATAAAGCCCTGCACATTAAAGTTTCTCCATTCACAGTCACAAAAATGTACTTTTCCAAGACACTGATTTCGTTCAATTCCAGACAGATTTCAGAAGGGTTTACTGAACTACCATCTAGTTCACAAATCTAGCTTATATATACGTAAAATATTAAGTACTATACAAATTACTTACAAATATGGGTCGAGGAGTGTATTCTTCCTCAAACAACTTGTGGAGTGCAAAAAGAGCTGCCTAGAGAAGAATAAATTGCAAAACTATTATCGGGTTTTAGGGGTGGTTCTTCTGTTTGTTGGGATTTTTTGTTTGTTCAGGTAAGCTTTTGTTTTCATTAATATTTTTAGTTATTTTTACAGCTGTTCATGCAACTTGCAACCCCAGTACTGCCTGTAATCTCACCACAATCAAGAGGCTTTCTCCTTATCTCTAATATCTTCTAGATTTTCAAACACATTTTGGTAACAGGTATAAAACAAGTATTGTGGGATAACCAAATGACAACCAGATGCTTCTGAACTCCAAATCACATCAGCACATAGTTCTCCCTCCAGTCTGCAGCACAACCCTTGCCCCAAACACAAGTTATATGTACTACTTTTTGTACACATTCACTGCTCTTGAATCTATCTAGACATACAGTTTGCAAAGAACTTTGACCAACACAAATTTTAACAGTAAAGACTGACATGACCCCTTCAAGTTCCTGAAAATTGCTTGCCTACTTAGGATAAGAACGTTGCACGTGAATATGAACTTCCTTCAGCACAGTGTTAAAACTATGGAGTCCTAGCCAAAACTCCACGATGACTGGTCAAATCTGTAAAGGATGAGTCATAACACTGCATGTTAATCAGCCCGTGGCAGAAGCCTGAAGAAATGCTGTTTGCTTATCCAGTCTGACTTTTCTATATAGAATTGCAAGTTTTAAGCCCCATAGCAAGTCTATTACTACACTGAATAATTTTAAGAAATATTTTATCCTCCCTATCCTCCTAATCCTCTACTCCTAATTTTTGTTTTTTTAAATTTGAAGGCAGTATCAAATTCCCTCAAAAACAAACAAACAAAAAAAAAACCATTGCAAGCTTTTCCACTCCCCCAGTCACATACACTGGACAGCCCCTCTCCAATGTGCACCACAAATATACCAGATTTGCTTACACTGAAGAATAAAAATATCAAATGCATTTGGAGATGTTTTGCAATAGAGCACAGCTCCTGGGAATAAGAGAACAGCTGGTACAAACAGCTAGGAAGATATTAACAGCACATATTGAGAGAAATATTCTGGAAAAGGCTGTTTTATCATTAAAAAAATATTTCCTTTCTTCGTGTTAGCTAACAAATGAAGTCCTGACACATATTTAATAAGCAGTTGCTGATTGCTCTTTCAAGTACCATATTGAATTTCCTTAGGTAGTACACTAAGTATTTATATAACCAATTTATATTTTTTTCCCCACAAGCCTCACCTTGGCATTGGCTGTATCAAATATGGTTTCTATTAAGATGATATCTACTCCTCCATCCAAAAGTCCTTTGGCTTGTTCTGTATAGGCTTCAACCAGTTCATCAAAAGCTATAAAACAGGAATTATGTTTACTTCACCTGGAGGTATCTGTTTCAACCTATCACCCAAATCAAGTAATTTAATGGTTATAAATACTTACTTATGTTCCTGTAATCTGGTCTCTCCACAGATGGTGACACAGAAAGTGTCCTATTTGTTGGACCCATTGATCCAGCAACATATCTCTTAACTCCTAAACCAACATGCAGAAGAAGAAAAATAAAATACAGTACCTCTAGTTCTACAGTGATAGCCTTCTCAAAGCAAAAAAAAAGATCAAGAACTATCAAACTGTTCTTAAACCAGGCCTTTGGTTAACACACAAGATCACCCAGTAGAGACAACTTTTTCTGTTTTAATTCTCTCCAAGATGTTCAATCTACATATATAAGACAGAAGAATGTCTGTGCAAAAGACAATCATAAGCTATTGGCTCAATTTGTTTTTCTTTTAGTATCACTTTTCTTTGATATACGAAGCCTCACTCAACTACCTATGCACAGCATAGAACTATCCTGGTATTTTTTGTTAGATAACATGACCTGAATGGTCTGGCATGCGTTCATAAAATTTTAAAAGTGTCTTTTTAAAAGTTTCTTTTTCTTTTCTTTTTTTTTTTTTTTAAAGCATATTTCAAATCTTACTTTTTTTACTGCATAGGATGAATTAAAACAGTAAGATTTTCATCTGCAACAGCACATTAGTTTGAAATAGAATTTGATGCCAGAATACAAGACAAAATTCCTTGTCCTTGAAACA